TTAATCATAAAACGAAGATGACTTTCGGGCTACCTCGTGAGAGGTGCACGAAATATAATATACTCAATGAAATCTAAACTATCAACTTTTGGACCCGTGTCGATCTCTCGTGGAATCACTCTAAAGCATAAGATTAAAGCACTTTGTGCAAGATGACGCGTATTGTGTGACAATTTTTTTGTTTTTGAAGGGCCACAAGTACTAGTCTTTCGGCAACAATCCAGAATGCAGCTGTGATTGAACCATAATTTTTAGCTGCTTTCTAAGTTTGTCACGTTTTGACAAAATTTGGGCAGTTAATATGTCTGCATGAAGGTGGGTGGGGGGGGGCAGTTCATAACTAAGATAAGAGATAACTCAGACAGGCGGATGTTCAATTTCTAAAATCAATTAGTGAAGAGTGCTTAAACACAGAGTGCTTTCAATTGTCCGGTTCATTTCCATTTGTAGTTTAAGGTCACGTTCAGCAGTAGGTGACTTGTAAAATCAGGCCCCACGCAGCAGTTTTTCTCTGAGAGTTTCGGCCATGTGTCCAAAAATCTTGTAGAGTGAGCTACGCTGCCCGAGTTGGAGCAGTTTCGTGCGTCTCCTGAAGATCTGTGCTACGCACGTGCAAGGAGCAATGACGTCGCACTAAGCAGAGCTGGCGCGGCAGAGTTTCAGTCGCCGCACGCGTCTCTTCTGTCTGCAAATTCCAGAGGACTGACGACAAAGCCGCGGCATATGCATTCTGATTATACTGTGGCTCATGCACCATAAGCCACGCTGCTCTCTTCTTCTTTGGTTGCATTTGCTGCGACATTAAGCACATATAGCAGGGTCTTTGCCAGTATGGTATAGCCATAGAGAAGGATAGCGAAATTGCTGCTTAGCGACACAGAAGACAGGAGAAGCTTAACTCATCTGATCTTCAAGTAGTTGCCTGGCAATCAGTGATTGAGTGTAGGAAGATCATACAGAAGAAGGCTAAACATGCTGTGGAGACACCGAGCTAAGGGACGAACATCTAGCAAAGTGGCATTGCTAGGAGGCTGAGCAATGTGCCTGACCATCTCAGCAGCAGCAACAAAACGTCGTCGATGACGTCGAGGCTTGCTGATTGACTGACTATACGGTAAAACTTGGTGAAAGTGCCGGTTGGACTTGACTCACGCTATTTATATCTTGGCATAGCCAAGCTAAGCCACTGAGAAATTTTTGTTTTGGTTTAAGGCAAAAGCCAAATTTACTTTTGTGAGCAGGAACCCGCTTCGGTTGCCATGTTTTGACACCACATACTCGAGCACCAGTGGCTGCAGTGTCGCAAGATTTTTTTGTTCAAATAGAGGGAACAAGCAGCCAAATGGCTAAGACGTTTTTTTTCTGTAGCCACCAGCCTAAAAAAGTAGCCATACCTAGCAACCCTGTGATCAAAAACCTGAGGCAGAAACAGCAGTCAGCGCCTCTGCCATGTTTTTAGATTTAGTGGTCTTTTTGTTACTATACCACACTTGTTGGGTAGTCAAGTAAAAAATGTGGTAGAAAAAAGTAAACCGAATAATATCCCTGTTTTTAATGTAATGCTGTGAATGCTTCTAGTGTTACTTTTAACCAGTCACAAGTCAATGTTTGATGTTTTCATTTCCACCACAAAGAATCCTAGTGATCGCCACTACGTGTTGATCCTTGATGAACACTGATGTTGTAATTGCTTGCATGATTAAAACAAGGATTTTTTGATGTTGGTACTTTGACCCATGATATGTGGGATTTAACATCCAAAACCACCGTATGATTAGAGAGACGTATACCTTGACCCATGCTAAAACAGTCAGTGACAATCATTCTGTACAACCCACAAATAAATAACCATGCTTGGGAAGTGAGAGGGGACATCTTTAAAGGAGTACTGAAAATAATTTTAAAAACTTACATATTCTGCTCTGAATAAAATCACTGGGGCAATAACCCTAGAAAGAGTATTGTGGTGCCTCAGAATTTATTGACAATTTTTTTAATACCACTACCTTAAAAAAACAGTGGCATTTTTATAGTGACATTTTTATAGTGACTTGTTCTGACATATATCTAAGCCATGTGGGTATAGCCATGGAGTTTCCTAAATATACACTAGAGGGAACTTTGGCGCTGGTCTGTGGGAGCTGCAATGCACGGCGCTTCAGCGGGCATGGGAATGGTGGGTAGTACACAGATTTGTCTAATATTCGCACTTCTGGCTCCCTGTGTGCTCGTGTGGCTTGGAGCTGTTCTGTCTTGATTGCGCTTTCCCACCTTAATCTTTTAGGCTTACCATTTCAAATCGGGTCACAAAGTTCAAAAGGGTCGTTCTTTCCTTCAAAATAACATTGAAACACAGCAGTAAACGAAGCCAAAAGTGTTATTCGCCTCCTACAAGTACGAAGACTAGGCAAATCCATGCACTACCCATCATTCCCATGGTTGCTGAACGATTGCAGCGTCAGAGTCCCCTCTAGTTAATTTTAGGAAACCACCCTATGGGTATAGCTACTCGTAATGTAATAGCAGCTCCTATGTCTTTGGCTGTCAGTTGCACATGGTGCTCTTGAACAATGAGTGAAATATTGTCTAATAGCTGCAACAGTGATTTCAACCGTATTCAGAATAGCATGCAGAGTTCGCAAAACCAGCAAACTGTCGCAAAACTAGCAAAATGTCGCAAAACCAGCAAACTGTGTTGACTCTTCATGATTTTTTATTATTCAATGGGGCTAGATTGCAGATGCCGGCCGATGAAAACGTTATTATCCAACCAAAATATATTGTATGCCTGTTTCCCGGCTCCAGTATGTGGAGAGTGCTAACACTGCATGCCAATGATAACGTAAATGTCCTTTGTGTGATGCCTCAAAATTCTGTCAGTAACCTTTTGAAGAAGGGCCTGGCCCCCTCTTGCTTGGCAATCATTTGTAGATGCACACATTCACACCCCCCTATACATACAAGAACGACAGGGTTGAGGGCCTTCCTGGAACGTTTTTGAGCAGAAGCAGACTTCAAGCTCTAGGTACTCCTAATGTGCTGGTACCACAGACACATGATTGTCTGTGAAAATTTGTAAAAACCCACCGCAGTAGTTCAATAGCTGTTGTGCTGTTCTGATGAGCTCATGAGTGCTCCTGGCTGCAGAGACCACATTCTGATGGTAAATATTCATGAACCATGCATTTAGATCACAGTAAGGAACCTCAGGTTGAAACCTTAAAAATTATAACACAAGGCAGGGAAGTGCGTAGACCTTAGGAGAGCCAGAAGAGCAAATGCCAGGATGCGTGTACCATGTGCATGCAATCGCACCCATTTTTACATATGTCATACACTTGTGTGGCAGTACCAAAGGCTTATGCGATTTTACTGCTGCTCAAAATCGTAGCTAACAGCAAACACACGGCGTTACTGTGAAAACTGCACAAGCTCACAAAAATGTTGTAATGCAGAGCACAACATGTTTAAATGACATGTGGGGCGAGCATGTACGTTTCACGTCCTCTCTTACACGTTACTTTCACATTATCATGGAATCAATTCACTGGAAAAGTGTATTGCCTCACAAATTCAATGCCGCAAAAATTTTTAAAATCGGTCCAGTACGAGTGAATTACGAAGATTTGTCACACGCTGCTATCGTATTTTCTCTTCTCTCATCCCGACAAAAGCGCTGGAAGCTTAGCATGTAGGGGCAAACAAAAAACGTCACGCGCGCCCTGTGACCTTGAGCACTTTTTTCTTTTTTTTTTGGAATACGTGGCTTTTTTAGTGCGATAGCGCGCGCACGCGTGGACAAGTGACGGCCTCCTTCGGCGATCTCTGTAACGACCTAGTGCACTATGTTAAAATCAGCCAATTGCTGATAGATGGGCTTACTACGAGGGATTTTTGGACTTATTGCGTGATTTTTCGAGAGAAAAGAAAGCAATTTTTAGCTGACTTCGATAATTTATTGTGAATTCCAGGCCACGTGCTGTGCTATAATATTTGACTCGCATGTTGTCGGGAGCCCTTACTACCGATCGGCAGCATTTTCTGATTATGCTCAAAAAGTGTTGCTGGGCCCCTTCCAGGGGACTCCTTCCACTACATGGAATTTATGTAGTGTTTTTTTCCGAAGGCGTTGCAAGTAACATCATGGCTTTGCGTTAGGACACCTGCTTGCCATGCGGACGGCCCGGGTTCGATCCTCAATGGGACCAAAAATTTTATTCTTTATTTTATTTGCTTCTTTCTCGATTTTTTGCTCACAATCAATGGTGCCGACAGCGGAATTTCTGCGACACGAGTTGTGGCATTAATAAATAAAAAAATAAATCAGTGCAGTTGCTGTCAGTCGCACTTGGTATAAGTTGCTGATATAAAGAAAAATTGATGCTGCATTTGATTTTTAATATAAAATAAGCTTTTTTTTATCAGCTTGATCTTTGATGTAAGACTAGCATCAAACGTTTTTGAATCTGCACTTTTATAGCTGTTGAGTAATTCTATACGGGTGCTGGTGTTTATTTATTTTCACATACTGCATCCCAATTGGGGTTTGCCAGGAGTGGGTTTTTTCTACATTGGAACTCAAACATAAAAAGAACTACAACAAACAAACAAGAATCCATAATTATGCATGGTAGACTCCGGCCAGGCCCGTAGCCAGAAATTGTTTTAGAAAACACCTATTTTCATTACTTTTTTCACCGTAACCCCCATTCCCTGGCTACGGGCCTGATTCTGGAATACGAATATACCAATGAATGTTATGTTAGCAAGTGCATCCTTACAGAGAGGCAAGCACAAAACACCTTCTAATACGAATGTACATTCTATTCCAGGCACATTACAATCTTGGTCATTGATTTTTTTTTGAAAACCATTTTTTTCTATGACAAACACAGGCTATTGCCTATTAGTTGCAATTTGAAAGGCACTTAATTTGCAGATGTGAAACCATGAGCCAAGTGTTATGCCTAATTTTACACATTTGCTGGAACCACATGCAGCTATGGAAGCAACTATCAAGACTCCAACGGTCACTGCTGCTGGTGCTTGCTGTGGCCGCTCTGGTACTTGTGGCATCACGCATGGGCCAAGCTCCTGTTCCAGCAGCCCCTGTTGCGGAGACTGGCCGACCCCCTGAGGAGGCAACACCTCCGCAGATCTTACACTCAACTCCTCAGCCCCCGGAGGATATAAAGGTCACCCTTGGGCACAGTTTCCTTGGGGCAACACAAGAAACAGCCTTCTCGCGTCTCTTCCAGCAGAGTGTGGTAGATGGCTGACATTCTTGCATCATGTGTTCTATGACATGTTCCAGGTTCTTGCAATGCACAGTCAAAGCCAAGAACACTTAAGTGCAGTTCATCACAGATAAGCACTACTGTTGCTGTGTGCATGTAAAAAATCTACATGTTAAAGGCTTGTGGGCATCGGGCAAGCTAAAATAAAAAAAATATATATAATTTTTTTAAATTTGGGAAATGAAACTTCGTGGGCATATTTGGCACATTCACCCTTTTCGTAGAAACTCCCACTTCTGGCCTAAAAGCTGCCTTTTCATAATGAACACGCACCTCAAGTGTGCTATGCACTTGAGCTAATGTTCATTTTTATAGAATATTTTCTGTAACAAGAATGAAAACGCATTTCTGGTATCAGTAATAAATAAGAAATGGTCTGAACACTATGTAATAGTAGCTGTTCTTATAGCCATTTTAATCCAAAGTTACAGTACACATTTTTTGCACGTTTGTGCTTCAGAGTGTGTATTTTTCGAATGCTTTTTGCTCTTAGCTGCATTACACCGAGTGTATTTCGTGCCTGTTGAGGTGCCAAGGGCAAGGAAAGTCTTCAGAAAGTGTAAGTTTAAGGTAATCAAGGTGGTGTCTCACAAACTAAATGGATACGGACGACTTACTGAGGCACCAAACGCTGAACCAGCATGTTTTTGGAAGGCGAACCTAATGCCCACAAGATAAATTTGCTTGCAGTTGTCCTCAAGGCATTCAAAACCATATATATCTTAGCCTGAGCTGCTGATGAATTGCCTCCATGAATGAACCCCAAATGCAAATGAACAATTCAGCTATGTTGTTTCTGGGAATGCACCTCGAAAAATGTCTTTGTTGGCCATCAAAGCCTGACGATTGCGACATTGAATGTTGTTGCTTCATTCAATAACGACACCATTGTACAGACGAACATCTTGAAATTTTCAGGCTGGAAGCCTGGCCTCAGCATGGTTAGATTGCATGAAGAGGTTTATCACAATGAAAGATACTTGGAACAGAATTGCAGGACAGCTCAGCAAAGAGGCAAGACGAGCAAAATGACGGCCTGAAAATCAGAAAAGGACTTTGACCATGACTACCAAGGTGGTGCCTGCTAAATAAGTTACTTGAATTGTGTCTGTGTGAAAATGTTTACATTTAATTTGTTTTCCTACTAGAAAGAGCTAGGAAGAGAAAGAAGTTGTCAAGAAGAATGGAAGAAGCAAATAGATATAAAGAGACAAAAAAAAGGGAAAAAGAAAACTGTTATCTCAAAACTATGTTTTTTCTTTCTTTGGTACCATTATTTCTAATGTATTATAAGATAACGAGCTGATTTTGTTTATTATCATCTCTATGGAAGTACACAACTCCTAAAGCAGAATTGAAGTTTTGCGCTGTGGAGTTCTCGCAGTGTAAATTTACAAATGTGCAAAGTAAGTCAATATTTAGGTACTAGTGAAAAATATTTAGCAAGGATGAGAATGTTCATGAAAGTTTAGCAATTCCACTTCTGTGAAAATTATATAAAGTTTGGAAGAAAATGATATATGCATTATGTGGACACCACTTGTGTTTCCTGAGCAAATGGTACCTCAACATGGTCAATGGGAAGTATAGGGCCTACCCTGTGCCCTCAAGAGAGTGAGGTACACATACCTGTGGCTTTGTGTGTTTGGAGAACCTGGAATGGCTTAGACACTGTGCAAGTGAAATTATCAGTTTTTTTTGTTGGGAGAGAGGGGCGTGGCTTACATGGAAAGATTTTTAATGCTGTACTTGAAATAATTCTCTCAAAATAGCAGATGTAAGTGAATCTCAAATACTTCTTAGCTAGCATATCAAGATCATTTTCCAAAATAATTTATTTCAGTCCTAAACTTTCACTTGAAACTGTTTTTAATATGCAGTTTTTTCTTTGTTTCCATCAAAACATAATGAGAAAGCTAAAGGCATTGTCTTTTGGTCTTTTTGAGCTTTCAGTTTGTTATGATTAATGCACAGTATGATTCTTTTGTAACAGCATTCATTATGAATAAAATACTTGCAGTTATCTTTAAACTGCATCATGGCACTGATATTTAGCTCTTTACTAGTTTTTTAAACATAAATTTGTAAATAACTAAGAAGTGCATTGCTTCATGCTAATTGGTAGGCTTGTGCAAATAGTAAATTATAGGTTCAAATAATTTTGAATTGAATATAAATAGCATTTGTGACATATTATAAAGAAAAATGAGCACATTTTTTCTACCCTAACTACCCTAACCTTCACAGTATATATATATATATATATATATATATATATATATATATATATATATATATATATATATATATATATATATATATATATATATATATATATATATATATATATATATATATATATATATATATACACATATATATATATATATATATATATATACACATATATATCCTGCCCACGGCAAGTTATCTTTTCACCCACTTTTCTTTCTTCTCATTTACATTACAATTGGCCTAATAACTTCCCCTATACCTTCCTTGGCATTATTTTCTGTTAGATCTCATTATATTGTGTAAAACACGAAAAATGAGCCCTCAAGTATACACTTGTTTCCCTTATATATATATATATATATATATAATAAATTGAAACAAGGCATTGGCAAATGTCATTTTTTTAGGCTCAAAAGAAGTAGAAGCAACATTGAATAGGAGCAGGATTTGATTTTCTGTAGAATGCCACTGATAATGGGTGGAATATGCTACATTTTAAAGTTTAATATTGATACGTGATATGGAACTGTCGCCCCGACTCAGCTGAATTGGCACCCAAACGAAGAAGACGACAACGTTGTTGTTGTGGGTTGGACTCTAGAGCTTCTCCCGTTGGCCTGCATGACTGTGCGCTCTCTAAGCCGTCAGCAAGACCAGCTCTCGTTGAATAAATCTTCCCCGTAACATCTTTTGGTGGAGGTGCTGAGCGCCAAGTTATACAGACGGAGGTCGAGAAAAGTCTGAGTAAAGACATCATTGAGCTTTCTATTTTATTTTTATTTATTTTATTTATCATATACTGCGAACCATTTAAGGTCCAAGCAGGAAAGGTACAGCAAGTTCGAAGATAAAATAAAGGTACAACAAAGTTACAACAAAATTGATACTGGTATACACGAAATGTAAGAAAAACATAGAAATCACCATCAAATTATACTCGTTTCCAGAGGGCTGAGTACACCCACTGCAACACAATCCATAAGCAAAGCACCACACTCTTAGGCACACAACAAGTTGTTAAATCAAACAAGTATTGTGAAAGCCAGGAAACACAAGGCGCATTTTATGGTGAAAAGGAAAGAAGAGTAGAGTTTCGGGGCAACAAGTTCCACTCAGAGATTGATTTCGGGAAAAAAGAGTGTTTGAGAGTCTTTCATCGAGTCCTTGGGCATCCCCTGTGGTCTAGTTAAAAAGAAGGACAACACCTGGCGCTTTTGCGTCGACTATCGCCACCTGAATCGGATCTCTAAGAAGGACGTTTATTCTTTACCCCAAATCGATGATGCCTCCACGGCGCCAACTATTTCTCGTCCCTCGACCTTCGATATGGATACTGGCAAATTTCGGTCGACGATCGCGACCGCGAGAAGACAGCATTCATCACACCTGACGGCCTTTACCAATTCAAGATCATGCCTTTTGGGTTGTGCAATGCCCCGGCTACTTTTGAGCGTATGATGGACTTTCTTCTTCGCTATTTCAAATGGTCGACCTGCTTTTGCTATCTGGATGATGTAATCGTTTTCTCACCCTCCTTCGAAAGCCACCTGTCTCGTCTCTCGGCCATTTTCGACGTTTTTCGTTGCGCTGGTCTCCAACTGAATTCGTCGAAATGCTCATCTGGACGCCGGCAGATTAAACTACTCGGCCACCTTGTTGACGCCACTGGTGTTCAACCCGACCCTGACGAAGTCCGTGCAGTCCGAGAGTTCCCGGTTCCGCGTTCCACACAAGAAGTTCGCAGTTTTATTGGGCTCTGCTCATACTTCCGCCGCTTTGTCTTCAACTTCGCGGATATTGCTCGGCCCCTCACGGATCTCCTCAAAAAGAATGTGGCCTTTTCTTGGGGAAGGGACCAAGAACATTCCTTCGCGTCGCTAATTACCGCCCTCACATCACCACCTGTGTTGGCTCATTTTGATCCAGCGGCTCGAACAGAGCTTCGCACCGATGCAAGCGGCCATGGCATTGGTGCTGTACTCGCTCAGATACAGAATGGCACCAACCGTGTGATAGCCTACGCTAGCCGCCTTTTGTCGCAAGCGGAACAAAATTATTCCATCACTGAGCGGGAATGCTTAGCCCTCGTTTGGGCTATTGCGAAATTCCGTCCGTACTTATACGGACGTCCGTTCGCAGTCATCACGGACCATCATGCGCTTTGCTGGCTGTCGACGCTTAAGGACCCTACAGAAAGACTCGGCCGATGGGCACTTCGATTACAGGAGTACACGTTCTCGGTTGTTTACAAATCTGGAAAGCTGCACAGCGATGCTGACTGCTTATCCCGGCACCCCATTGGTCCACCTAGCTCCACTGATTTGGAATCCGATGCCTGCGTTTTAGCCATCACTGACTTTCTGAACGTGGCCGACGAACAGCGTTGAGATCCATCGCTGCTCATCATCATTGACCACCTTCAATCGCGTTATGCTGACCCTTCTCTTAGCAGATACCTACTTCAAGACAACGTTTTGTACTGCCGCAACTTACGCCCCGACGGCGCGGAACTTTTACTCGTCATACCGCATCACCTACAAAAGGATGTTCTGCGACAATTCCACGACGCTCTGTTCGCTCAATTCCACTCTGTTCCCCGTTACGTCGCAACATGCGACCCCTGCCAGCACTGAAAGAAGCCTACGACTCCCCCTGCTGGTCTT